AAACCAGCTCTCTTCCAGCCGTCAAGGCTCACAAACGGCGCCTCCGCCACAGCAAAACAGCAGGGCCCTGAAGGACGGACCGAGCCTCCGGGCAACGGCCCCCACTGCCTAACGTTGCTTTCTCAACCTACAAGAAAACTAGCTCTCTGAGCTGTCTTCCAGCCGCCTGCCTAACGTTGCTTTCTGAATCGACAAGAAAACTAGCTCTCTGACCTGTCTTCCAGCCGCCTGCCTAACGTTGCTTTCTGAATCGACAAGAAAACTAGCTCTCTGACCTGTCTTCCAGCCGCCTGCCTAACGTTGCTTTCTGAATCGACAAGAAAACTAGCTCTCTGACCCGTCTTCCAGCCGCTTGTTGCTTCCTGGCTTCTTGTTTCTTGCTTCTCTGACCTGTCTTCCAGCCGCTTGTTGCTTCCTGGCTTCTTGTTTCTTGCTTCTTGCCGCTTGTTGCCTGTAATTGCTTCTTGCCTCCGGGCAACGGCTCCCAAACTAGCTCTCTTCCAGCCGTCAAGGCTCACAAACGGCGCCTCCGCCACGCCCAAACAGCAGGGCCCTGAAGGACGGACCGAGCCTCCGGGCAACGGCTCCCAGTGCCTAACGTTGCTTTCTGAACCTACAAGAAAACTAGCTCTCTTCCAGCCGTCAAGGCTCACAAACGGCGCCCTCGCCACGGCAAAACAGCAGCGCCCTGAAGGACGGACCGAGGCTCCGGGCAACGGCTCCCAAACTAGCTCTCTTCCAGCCGTCAAGGCTCACAAACGGCGCCTCCGCCACGCCCAAACAGCAGGGCCCTGAAAGACGGACCGAGCCTCCGGGCAACGGCTCCCACTGCCTAACGTTGCTTTCTGAACCTACAAGAAAACTAGCTCTCTTCCAGTCGTCAAGGCTCACAAACGGCGCCCTCGCCACAGCAAAACAGCAGGGCCCTGAAGGACGGACCGAGCCTCCGGGCAACGGCTCCCAAACTAGCTCTCTTCCAGCCGTCAAGGCTCACAAACGTGGCCTCCGCCACGCCCAAACAGCAGGGCCCTGAAGGACGGACCGAGCCTCCGGGCAACGGCTCCCAGTGCCTAACGTTGCTTTCTGAACCGACAAGAAAACTAGCTCTCTTCCAGCCGTCAAGGCTCACAAACGGCGCCCTCGCCACAGCCAAACAGCAGCGCCCTGAAGGACGGACCGAGCCTCCGGGCAACGGCTCCCAAACTAGCTCTCTTCCAGCCGTCAAGGCTCACAAACGGCGCCTCCGCCACGCCCAAACAGCAGGGCCCTGAAGGACGGACCGAGCCTCCGGGCAACGGCTCCCAGTGCCTAACGTTGCTTTCTGAACCGACAAGAAAACTAGCTCTCTTCCAGCCGTCAAGGCTCACAAACGGCGCCCTCGCCACAGCAAAACAGCAGGGCCCTGAAGGACGGACCGAGCCTCCGGGCAACGGCTCCCAAACTAGCTCTCTTCCAGCCGTCAAGGCTCACAAACGGCGCCTCCGCCACGCCCCAACAGCAGGGCCCTGAAGGACGGACCGAGCCTCCGGGCAACGGCTCCCACTGCCTAACGTTGCTTTCTGAACCGACAAGAAAACTAGCTCTCTTCCAGCCGTCAAGGCTCACAAACGGCGCCCTCGCCACAGCAAAACAGCAGGGCCCTGAAGGACGGACCGAGCCTCCGGGCAACAGCCCCCAGTGCCTAACGTTGCTTTCTCAACCTACAAGAAAACTAGCTCTCTGAGCTGTCTTCCAGCCGCCTGCCTAACGTTGCTTTCTGAATCGACAAGAAAACTAGCTCTCTGACCTGTCTTCCAGCCGCTTGTTGCTCCCTGGCTTCTTGTTTCTTGCTTCTCTGACCTGTCTTCCAGCCGCCTGCCTAACGTTGCTTTCTGAATCGACAAGAAAACTAGCTCTCTGACCTGTCTTCCAGCCGCTTGTTGCTTCCTGGCTTCTTGTTTCTTGCTTCTTGCCGCTTGTTGCCTGTAATTGCTTCTTGCTTCTTGCTTCTTCTTTCTTGTTTTCTTCCTTCTTGCCCTTGCTGTTTGTAATGACTTCTCTGACCTGTCTTCCAGCCGCTTGTTGCTTCCTGGCTTCTTGTTTCTTGCTTCTTGCCGCTTGTTGCCTGTAATTGCTTCTTGCTTCTTGCTTCTTCTTTCATGTTTTCTTGCTTCTTGCCCTTGCTGCTTGTAATGACTTCTTGGCCCTTGCTGCTGGTAATTCCTCCTCTGACGCGCTCCCCCTGCTGTCGGCAGGGGTCGACGGATTTTAGATGTTCTGCTTGAAAGCCACATATTGTGACTAGTTTCAAAGAAACATATAGACGGTCCAATCAGTATCATTTTTTTGGTGTTTGAGGATGTTGAAAACCGTATTCTATCTACTCCAGGATGATTGTAATTGTATAACAAATCCTCCCTCCAACTAACATAGGCACTGCCAAACAGGCTGAAAATTACTGTCCTGGCCTTCCTCCGAATGCGATTCTCGGGGTCTATGTTGCTTTGGGGATGCATTCATAAATACAAATTTATAAGATGAATGTAAGTAGCAATTTAACTGGAAGTGGACAATCAATTCCTCCCTACAGTGGCCCTACTCCCCTCTTCCGGGCTGCAGGGCAGGGTTGACTGCGACGTGGCAGGACATTTCGTTGCAACGGCTTCCAGCAGATGCCGCTGTCAAAGACGTAGCCACTTGGACACCAGATTGGTGAGCAGAACCTCCCAAGCCTTGAAGAGATAGAGACACTGGAAACCCAGAGGGCTCAATGACCGTCCCAGTTCAGTCTACCAATAATGAGGGCCTGTAAATAATCATAATATGCCATATTAACCATAATAATAATCATCTATCATCATTGATCGCCTTGCCAGTCAGCCTAAACTTGAGGCTGGCGAACACTTGCGGGTCTTTTGCAACGAATGCACGTGGCAATGGGCCAAGAAGATTGGCACCAGCTACGAAAAAGCCAAAGAATTGAGGCGCCCGAAGTCGCCAAATCCGAAAAGCGAATCCGCATTCGGAATCCGCCACTAGAAGATACAAGCGACATCAAGCGACTGCGTTTGACTTGACCAATTGATATCAATTGATCATGTCCTCTCAACTCATTCAACTCATTGCCGCAGGTCATTTGTACCAGCTAATTGGGATTTCAATGGGTAAGATTCCCTGTAGGATCTACCAATTGAAAATGGGGTTCAGCATGCATCAGTAGGTTTGGCCGGCTTAGCCACTACCTTGATTGGGCTTTATACAGCGTCACAATGCCACCTTAACTTGTTAATTAGAATTTAAAAAGGTTGAACAAGTCCAGATAAAGAAAAACATGACCATTGAGTGAATAGCCTACAACCGAAGATGATGCTTTAAATCCCATTTAGGACATTTACTTCAACCCCAACCAGGTAACCTGGTAATCCCAATGCCATCAACCATCCCCCTTGGGTTTTCATCCCACAATGAATACCACAGTGATGGCTTGGGCGCCCCCAGTGGCCCCAGTCATTTCCCATGGAGGTTCGGCAGCGATGAAGCCTTGGCCGAAGACTTCGCACAGAGCTACAACGCGGAGACCTTCAGCCAAGCGCTGCGGGCGCGGGGCGTCGTACGGCGAGGGACGGCGTCCTGCAGATGGGAGGCGATGGTTCCGCCGGAGAATGATTGACCGACATTTACACAGACTAATCCCATCCCCCTATAGATGGTCCATGATGGTCCCAAATATGTGGTTTCATTCACTACAAAACCACGCATGGTGTTTAATATTAGGGGGAAGGGATCCTGCCGCCCAGCACCAGGTGCAGCTGGAAGATGGGACTTGGGGTCCTTATGAGGAGGACGTTGCTTGTCTCAGATGGACCTGAGAGATCTGAGAGGATTTCTCCAAGGGGACCTTCAAATCACCATGGGGATTGAGCACTAAGAAAAGGGAGCTAAAACATAGTAAAACACGTTAAACCATCACGCAGATGATTCCAATTCATTTTCAAATTGTCAAACTTCTGGGTTTTTCAAATTGATAGAGGGAGGCCTGATTTTGGAGGAGTTGTAGTGGACACCTCACCTGCCAACCTCAGCCTCAAAGCTTCACCCAAACACTGGTTGCGGGTGGTTATGCCCCCCCGTATAGTTGCAAGATGTTGCAAAGCAAAAAGCACCCAGGTGGCTTTCTCTGAACAACTTCTGGCCCCGGAACAAGATTACCATCGGAGTTTCATGTAGTTTCTCTACTAGAACAGCCAGAAATTGAGGTATTTGGGGTCCATTTCTTTTCAGACAGGGCCATTTGAGCCAACTCCCAGTCATCGCCGTCATCGCCTACGCCATGGCTTCAGGCTTCGGCTTCCATTGAGTCAGCACACCAGCTGGGGCAGCCGGAATTGGAACTCAGACTGGGGCCACGAGGCGAGGTTACAGATGGATCTGATGGTATCAAAATGACAGACTGGAATTAATTGTAGGTAGGTGCTGGAGATAGTATAGAGATGTTTTTGAAGTTGCTGAATGTATAAAGTTGCTAGATGTTGATGGATGGTGATGTTCTTCCAATGTCGGAAGCACATGGGATGCTGCCAGGTTGGCAGTATACGATCGATCTCCAGAACCAGGCCAGCAACACCGTTCGGGAAATGGCCGTTTGGGTGGGAAGCATTGGGCATGGTAAACACCCTTTGGTCAACACAAATGGTGATACTATAGTATAATATAGTATAATGGGATATGTTAGTGAAATATTAGTTAATTAATATTAGTGGGATATGAATGGAATGTTAACGGAATTTTGGTTATTGCCCTGCGCTAATCAAACATGTGGGCCATTTTCCCTATCTGAAATTGTCAGAGGGTAGTACCGCTTTGAATTAACACACACCATCCAGCAGCAAACAGTCCAAGCACCATGAATCACCTCTTGAACATTTCACGATTTGTATATGTTGACCATTGTTTTGACACACGTATAGCATACCACCTGGTAAATCATGGTGTTTACCCGGCAGGTGCAGCGAAATGACAAGACCAAGAAATCACGTCCGGGGACTCAGCCAACACGTGAAATAAGATGGAAATTCATCATTTGATTTCCATAGGTCGTCCATAGGCAAGGTTATCTAATGTTATCTAATGGACATCCCATTAACTGGTGTGTCACTAGTTCAGTCCAGCTTCGGATTCTGGTGGCAATTCCTATGGTTCAAAAAAAAAGATCATAACATGTTTTGGGTCGAGCCCTGCTACATCCAACTGGGATGATGTGACCACCACATGGATCCAAACGGTTTGTTAATGGATGTTAATGGTATGGCTCATCAATGTTTATCATTGGGCTTGCCACATCAAGATGGGCTATTTGCTGGTGTCCAAGGTCCCATTCGAAGGACGGAGGTTGCTACCTCTCCGGTTTCACCCGAAGGGGTGGCCGGTGGCGTCCACATCTCAGAGAAAAACGCCGTCCCCATGCTTCAAAACATTCTACAACAACTAAAACGGAATTACCTGATTGCTAAGATCTTGACCACATGATTGAGATTGCTAAGGGTTTTTGAATTGCGAATTCACAGATTTTGTGGATGTCTAGCAGCCACTAGGCCCGCCTCACAGAAGATGAACTGGCAGAAGCCATACGTTATTTCGCCGCTTGGTCTTGCCGCAGGTTACCTGAAAACGAACATGGGTTTGGCCAAACATTGATAAAACACGGGTGGGGTATGGATTACTGTATACCTATCCAAATCCTGATCTTCTTATAGTATAGGGAAATTGAATGAAGGGAAATTGAATGAAACTTATAATAAATCATTATGCCATTTATTTGGCCATGGGATTTTGGTGTGCACTGTGTCTACACGAACCCAGATAAAATCTGCAGATTTGCGGATCGTTGAGGTGCTATTTTCCCCTAAAAGGTCCTTAGCCATCGCCGGGACATCATATGCATATCATTAAGATCTACGGGGGATAGAAGTACTATTCATGAATGTAAACGAGATATGACATGGATTGTGATGTACGTTACTATATCATCTATAACTTTGAAATCCAAGCCCAGATGCTCCATGTATGGAATATTAACCTACATTTGGGCCATTTTTGGGGTAAATGTAGGTAAATATTCCATACATGGAGCATCTGGGAAGGATCATAGCTGGCATTCCCACAGCGCCAGGTGGGTTTGTGCACTCTGCCTTCGAAAGCGACTTTGTCTCCGGCGCCACCACCATCACGGCCAAGCGGGAGCATATCCGGTGTCAGCGGGAAGAAATGGGGAGACGTTTCTGGTCCTGGCATAAGGATCCAGGATAGAAATATATAGGGTAAATATGGTTAAACAAACTAAATATATCTAAAATATTATATTGTTGTTTGTTTTTTTGTTAATTATTTCTGCTTGGATATTTGATCATACAGATAGCATAAACATGGACATATCAGATATCGATTGAATTGGAAAGCTGCAATATCAACGCATCAGGAGCAGCGCTACACCCAGTGCGTGACCTCACCAGCCGCCGTCATTGATCATGACATTGGAACCCTATGTGAGCACATGTGATCCTTAGCAGCTAAGGCCATGAAAGTGTTGAACAATTCACAAAAATGAACATAGATGACATATGATAATCATTGATCTATATTCCATTCAATTCCGTTTGAACTGCCCCTGTACATGGTGTACAGTGTACAGGTTTGCACTTGCGGAGCCGCATCTGTATATTTTTCTTCGGCTGAAGCAAGGTCTCACCTCCTTCTGGCACCTAAGTACCATTAATGTTTAAGCTGAACTACTGAAAATGGCTGAAGACTATATTTGTGACTGACCGATGCTGAAGATGATTTGGAGACACTGGAGACACACTGCTTTCATGTAATTCAAGACCTATGCTGCCTACACATTCCTTGCACCAAACCGGGCCATTGCAGGTTTTTGCCGCAGAAACCGAGAGAGCTAGGATGGCATATCACGCCCTGACTTGAAACAACTTGTTAGACAAAGAAACAAAGAAACTTGCAACCAGATATCGCTTCTCGATTGTTTCTTTTGTGCATCGCTTTTTGTCCACACTCGCCATGGATCCTTATACCCTCGAGTCACAGGACGGGCTGCAGGGGGCAGACTTCACACCTGTTATTCAACATTATTCAACTATTGCATGACCTTGGCAAAACGATCCAAATTAGAGATATGGAAGATAACATTCATCGAGCAAATTCGCTATTCACATCTAGGGTGTTTGGATGGTATATAGGATTACGCTATGTTTGCAGGAGCACCCCCTGGTAGTGACGGACACCAGAGAGGCACATGGGAAAAGACATTTGCCAGTCATAAGTCATAACAAGTACTGTAATACCCCCAAGGTTGGAGTATGTTTTATTTGAGCTTGTGGGAGCACGGACAAGGTAACACATGATACCACCTCACTCAAGTGGTAGTGCAGTGCCCAACATGGACAGGCTTTTGAACCCGCGACTCCGCCGCAGATCGCATCTTTGAAAAAGATCGGACTTGCGGCAGTTCCGTGAAGCATTTAGAGTACAGTGTGGTATCTATGTTTGAAGCTATGCGTGGTCAATTGCCATTTGGGAAGGAGGAACAGAGCTTGGGTATCGTCAGCTAAGCTATTGTCTAAAAAGGACAGTCTTGAGTCAAACACTACTTCTTTAATGTGGTTATTACTGTACTGTTAATAAAGGCGCACAGGTGGACCAGGTGGACCAGGTGGACCTCTTTGCAGCTTGAGGTTTTGGCGACCGCTTGCGCTGCGGTTTTTGTGATGTTGGATGCAGGTGCCCCCGAAGCGACACTTGGTCAGCACACATCGCCATGCCGCAGGCCTTGGAATCCTTGGGTCCATCGATTAGCTGAGGAGCGGAAGGTCCAGCGCAGAGTTCCAAACTGTACAACTACAGGAGATGGGGGGAAGGAGATGAAGATATTGGGAAGGAGGTGACGAATTCATGGCCATGGAACATTTAATTTACTCCCATTGTGCTCCACACTTCCTTTTCTCATGTCGAGACCGGTGGTTTTCCTGCAGACTGTCAGAGCAGGGGCTCAGATCAGCACGGATCAGTGAGCTTTGGGCTTTGACAGGTCTCGCTGCACAGACTGCACAGGAGGACTTTCAACATCCGTTTTCCATTTGGCAGAGTGCGGAGCATACAGGCGACAAGCTTTCTCGGAATCTGGGCCAGTAATGCCTCTACTATTTGAAGGCGTATGGCGTGTGATTTCATAGTGACACATTGTTTTACCTCGCCTCTATCTAATTGTGATAGGTTTGGAAACTTTTTGTACCGTAAATATGTCGATTGTGTCCCAAAATGCCCGAGAGATGTTCCCAGACCTATGACATCCGATGACCGTGTGAAACAGCAATCAGTTGGGCGGCAGCCAAGGAAACCCGTCGGCTACTTCAAGTCTGATTTTTCCTTCTCAGGCTGGGGAAGGTTTTTGGCAAAGCAATATACAGTAGTTATAGCAGCTAGCACATATTAATATATTGAAACTCTATTCTGGTGAAGAAAAACCAGAGATGAGATTTTGAGATAGGATATGATAGGATTTCAATGGAACATATATCGATGATAGGACCAGCCCCAAGATCCCCAAGTGACCAGCCATGGACGTGACTTCACCAGGGCCTGAAGTGGTGATCAGCAACGTCCAGGGCCAAGTCATCGAGGGCTTTGGTGGCGCTTTCACCGAGTCCAGTGCAGCGGTTTACAAGACCGCTGGGGCTGGGAGACGATGCGGATGAGGGGCCCAGGGGTCCTCCCTTTAAAGGGGTCATTTGTAACATTGATTCTAAAAAGTGTGATTCTGATTATATTATAATATATATCTCTCTCTCTCTCTCTCTCCCTCTCTCTACGCAATGTTTAACCACATGTCTTCAAGATCTTGAACGGGGCTTTGAGCCGGGCTGCGAAGGAAACTCTCCAACGACCAGAGGGATCAGTTTATTGAAGATTACTTCTCTGTTAATGGTCTTGGCTGCTTGGTCTGCAAAATGGTGAGCTTGACGCTGGCGGACAGTGTTCCCACTTCCGGAATGCAAAATGAACCGCAGCATCAACGTGCCTTGCAACAAAATAGCACCAACAGTTGGACAACATGGGAATATGTTGAATTTGGATCCCTTTGACCTTTCAATTAACTCGTTTCAAACACATTCTTTCAAAGGAGCTAAATGAGGCAGAATGAATGAACTCTCTTTGGCCCATGCCAACAGTAATTCCTCTTGCAAGTAAACTTGCAAAGCAATCCTGGCAACTTCAGGATCACTAAGACATGTTTAATTAGCTGGTTTAGCCCTCCTGCAAGACATGAGAAGAAATGCAGAAAGGTACATTGCCTCAGGCTGAAGTCTTGGGGAATATCTCAGCTGCAGGTTACACGCTGGGCCGAACGCATATTAACAGCTGCGATTTTTCAATTTCCAGCTACTCCTTTGACGATCATGATGGTGATGCCTCTTGCCTGCAGAGTGGTTTTCAGGAGCTGCAATGATGGAATTTGCAAACCTGAATGTAAACGTCAATCCTCCTTTCTTTCGCCCTCTCCACCATGGTCAGGAAAAAATAGATGAAAGTCGATATCCATTGAATCTGCTTAAAATGCGTAATTGTCCCAAATTTTCTGCGCTGCTTGCTTCAGGTGGGCCTGACAATGTTCGACACATCCTTGGAACATGATAAAGAGGAGTTGCTTCCCCTCATTTGGGCAGCACAATACATGATCAGGACCCTGGGCTGCTTAGCTGCTGAGTCTTCAGGTGAGCTTCAGGAGCTATCCTGAAAGCTGAAATCCATATACATATATTGTTCATTCTAAGATCAGCTAATCAGCTAAGACTTCAAAATCTTCAAGTGCTTCAAATGTCCAATTTCAATCTGACATAATCTGACCATATCTGACCATCTCTGACCTCATATTTTTCCGTGTGGCAGAGACTCCATGGATCTCCATGGATCTCCTGCGTGTCGCAGGGCGCAGGGTTCGGGACGCGAACTGAAGATGTTGGCTTCGCCCTGGAGTCCGCCGGCGTGGATGAAGGACCAGTCCTGGAACCCAGGAGCCCCAGCCACTCAGCTTTGGATGATGGGATGTGCTAAGGCTAGGGTCAAGATAACAAAGGCAAAACGGTAAACTATACGTGTATATATATATATATATACACATATAATATGTACATGTATATACGTATATATATATATATACTTTGTATATATATATATATGTATATATGTATATATATATGTGTGTATATATGTATATACATGCACGTACGGGAGGTATACGAATTCTACAAATTAAGTGAAGGTTATCGGTTATTGTTTTGAACATGTGAACCCACCAATTTGTCGTGGGCATCCATTTGTTCCCATCTTTGCTGGCCAGGTGATGGACCATTCTGGCAAGCCATGTTTGAAGCATGGCATGGAGCAAGTTTGGGCCAACTACATCGCCAAATGGATTCAGTCCTATCGGGTGCGCCACAGCCAAACCTAAGCCGCCACAGCGATCAAAAGCAGGAAAAAAAGGGGACACTGTAGTTGAGACATGGGAATCCGATCTTTCTGGTGGTTTCTAGCATGAATTGACACAGACTGTCCTTGTGTCAGGCGCATGGAGTACCCATTTGGGGCATGACGGTGCAAAACGAGCCGTTGAACAACGCCTCGTGGGAAGCCTGTCGCTTGACACCGTGCAGCCTGGGATGGTCAAAAGGCAGCTGGAAGGATAATATACATGATATACCTGTAAAATCAATGAAAATCATGTGAATGATTGTAAATGTATTTTAAAACACATGGATATATATAATTATATATATATATGTATATATATATATATGTATATATATATAATTATATATATATATATGTATATATATATGTATATATATAGTATATATATATGTGTGAGAGAGAGATAGAAAAAAACAGATAAATACACACACTAATATATGCCCATAGGATTCATGTATGCTATATATGGTAACATTTACCATCAATATACCCCAAATGTTAGCATATATACCATACATGGATCCTCTGGGATGCATACATGTATATATATATATAATATACATGCATATTCAAGGGTTGCTTCGCTTCCAGCCCAGGAAGCCATGGGCTAAGGCTTGATGTCTTCAAAGGAAGAAGCGGACTTTGTGGCGAATCATTTGGGTCCAGTGATCCGCGAGCTGGTTCCGGATCTTGGGCATTTGGTTGCCGGTTTTACTATGTTTTAACTATATATGGATTGGTTTAAGGGAACATCTTCACCGGAAACCATCGGTTTTTCATGGTTTTTCCCTCTATCATGGGGCTTTCCGGGTATTCAAAAAATCCTTGCAATCAATCCATTGACTATATGATTTGAATGTTCAACAATAGGAACGGGATGATGATCCCCAATGACTCAATGACATTCAATGACCAACAATTATGACCAATAGTTATGTTTGAGAAAGGTTGGAACCACCAATCAGTGGCTAAACCTTGAACATCAGAAAAAGATACGCACTGAGGATGTGCAGATTTTCATCTATGACCACAACAAAGATCAAGTGGCCAATTAT